TTATATGATCCATCATTTAAAAAAGCTTCAGCGATCGGATAACCCACATTACCCGTGGCTCCGGCAATAACTACAGTCTTGAATGATGTTGTCATGGTGAGAATATTAAAGAGATATGAGATTCCATTTGTTGAAATTTTAAGAAAATTAATGTACAAAGCCGATGATGTAAATTGATTATGATGATCGTTTAGTTTTTTTTGGATTAGGTTTAGAATTTCGTGGGAATACTGTAAACAAAATACAAAACATGGCTGAATAAACATATAAAGGTTGATCATTAACCGAAAAAATTACAATTACAGTAACAAAAAATCTGATCTTTTTGCAAGTAATTATCATCTAAACTTTGATTAAACCTTTGATTTAGGTACCTCTTTTTTTGTTAATCATTAAAACTTTTTTTTAAAAAACTATATCCCTTAACTACTATTAAATAAAAACATCATTTAATGGTATCTAAGTCGCACGACGAGGACGTTGATATTAGTGGCCAAAAGAAGCGAAGCAAAAAGAAAAAAAAAAGAGCGATGTAAAGCAAATATGAAATTCAATTGAATGTGAAAAGGAAAAGATGGTAAGAAAATTTTTAAGCATAAAGATTGTAGAGAAGGTAAAAATAATAAGATTAATTGATGATAATAATAAGATTGATACTTAATTGAGTAAAAGCAAAAGATTCTTAATTGGTAAATTGAAATTGTGATGATGAAAAGTCAAAAAGTTTTTTTAATTGATGACAAAAAAGTATGGAATGAAAAGCAACTTCATTTTAGACCAATCAAAGTTTTACTGTTTTCTCACGATGGCAGAAATTTCGCCCGCTGAATTCCTTTTCTCGGTCACGTTGTTTATGGACTTCTTTTTTACACATTCTTGTGATATTCCATTGTTCTTGATAATTCTTTATGATATTCTATTGTTCTTAATAATTCGAGATTTTTTTAGCTTTGATAGTTCGGTCTTGAAGATCTATTCCTCGAATCTTTTGCAGACTGTTGGGCGCTTGTTCTTGGACAACAATACCTTGCATTCCACTTTGATGTTTATGGTGCTCTTTGATCGATTTCGCGTTGTTTAAATTCTTTTTTTCAATGAAGAAATAATAATTTAAATAATTCAACTGATTTATCATCGTCATCACCCTTTTTTTTTTGTTTTTCAATTTTTAATAAACTTATAAAACTAATGCTTAAAAATAATATATACTACAATCTGTATAATCTAAATTATCGTAGCTGATGTTAATATATAATTAATAGAAGTATAATTAAAGAAACAATGATTTTTTTTGAGTTACATCCAAAGAGTTACATTCATCATACAAATATTTCAATTTTTTTATTCCCATAATTCCCATTAAAAGTTTAAATTTATTCATTTTTTTATCATCAATTACAATAATAACTACGATATATTAGTTCATTAATATTATTATTAAAGAAACAAATTTAAGGTACTATTTTTGGAACTGCGAAAGGGTGATTGACTTTTTCTTTCGGTATTTAAATGGAATTTTATTATATATGTATTTTCGTACAAAGAATATAGATACACAGAATACGTATAGAATAACCTTTAAAAAGTTCAACTTTTTGTCATCACATAATGTATAGTTCACAAAAAGTAATGAACGATATTATTTATATCATTTTTCGCATTATTAATCATGTCGTCAAAAGTAAAAAGGAATAATGATTCATATACGATTCGTTATTATAAATAATTCTTACTGTAATTTAAAAAATAAAATAAAATTGTAACCAACGAAATTTTTTATGCATTTTTCGCTATGATGTTAATTTGTTCTGTAAGAGAATGAGGAGTAAAATTAAATTTATCATTATCCACTTTATCAAATTTACTAAGTATAGAACTTTCGAAAACGAAAACTCTAAAATCATCGGCAGTTGATGGAATTGGTTCGATTTTGTTACGGAATCGATATCGAACTTCTCTATCTTCAACAACTTTCCATTTTGAACCTGAAATAATTATTACACAAAACATGTATATATAACATATAGACATATGTGTTATGATTAAAAATTTATATAAAAAAAGATAATAATAACAAATAAACGAATAACTGAATAAATAAATAAATACACACCAGTAGCTTCTTCAAACATTTGAAGAATTTCGTTAAATGTCTCAGTTGAACCAGCTACTCTAATAGTAGCATTACGAGCTTCGGGTAATTTAAGTGATTCTACGGTATATTTACCAATGTCCGCTAAAGAAGTGGAATATATTTTTGAATTGCCATCCACGTAAAATGTAGCTGTCTTATTTTTAACATCAAATCCTAACATTTCAACAAATTCTTGGAATAATCCGGTACTGATGTACGTATATTCCATTCCGCTTTTTTCTAGTTCTTCCCGAAATTGGAGTTTGCCATCAACAAATGGATGAGTATTATCAGGCCTTCAATAGTAATAATAATAATAATAATAAATAGGAAAGAAATTTAATAAAGACATTTGACATTCATTTCAATTAAAATAAAATGATATTAATAAAAGAAGTAAAAAAAACGTACGTATATTCACCACCAAATTCCGATGGAATAAATCTCTTCACACCAACTTCTTTAGCAGCTTCCAACAATGGTAATTGAATATTATAAAAATCGCCACTCGTCTTTTTGAATCTTATGGCTTTTACAGCACTTACGATAACATCAGTTCCCTTGAGTGCTTTAACCAAATCATCCTTTTGAGTATAATCCACATAGACAATTTCGGCTCCTTTAGAAGCTAATAATTCGGCTCTCTCATTTTTATTTTCGGGTTTCTTACGAAAAATCTTAATTTTATATGATCCATCATTTAAAAAAGCTTCAGCGATCGGATAACCAACGTTACCCGTGGCTCCGGCAATAACTACAGTCTTGAATGTTGTTGAAATTGGCATGGTGATGGATAGAAAATTGAGAATATTAACGAGATCTGAGATTCCATTTTGTTAAAATTTATTATCCTTTTAATATGATTATTAATTACTTTATTACAAAGCCGATGATTTCTTACGTTAATTGATTGTCATCTGTTGGTTTTTTAGGTTTAGAATTTCGTGGCGTGGGAATCGTGGGAATTCAGTAACAAAAATTAGTCTTTGACATGTTAAATTTGATTAAACAATTGATTTCGGTACCTTGGCAGACACTTTTTTTTTTTTTTTAAAAAAAAAAAACTATATACTGTATCCCTTAGCTAAATATTAAATAAAAACATTATTTAATGGTACCTAAGTCGCACGACGAGGATGTGGATATTAATGGTCAAAGAAAAATGGAAGTGAAGCAAAAAGAAAAAAAAAAAGCAAATATAAAGATTCAATCGAATGTGAAAAGATGTTAAGTAAAAAGATTTTAGAGAAGATAAAAATAATAAGATTTGATACTAAATTGAGTAAAAGCTTAATTGATGTTAATAATAATAAATTGAAATCGTGTTGTGTAAAGCAAAAGATTCTTAATTGACAATGGTATTGGTAAATTGAGACTGTGTTGATGAAAAGCCAAAAAGTTTCTTTTAATCGATGATAAAAATATGGAATGAGGAGCAACTTATTTTAGACCAATCAAAGTTTTACTATTTTCTCACGATGACAGAAATTTCGCCCGCCGAATTCCTTTTCGAGCTTGAATTCGGTTTTTCTTCTTTATATTGAAATATTAATTGATTTTGAAAATGACGAAGATATTTTTTAAATTTACATTGTTCTAGTTTTCGCTGATATTGAATTTCGCGTTGTTGTTCTTGAATACGGTGTTGAGGAATTTTTCGTTTGGGTTCTTCAAATTCTCGATCTTGTTCTGAACTCTTGTTTACGTTTTTGAACATTTTGGATTTTTTTTTAGCTTTGATAGTTACAGTCTTAAATATTTGTCCCTCGAACCTTTTGCAGACTTTTGGTCGCTTGTTCCTTGACAACAATACCTTGCATTCCATTTTTATGTTTATGAGATTTTTGTTGATGTTTAAATTCTTTTTCAAGCCAGTCATTTTCACTAATGAATCAATTGTTTGAGTGTTATAGGTATTTAAAATTGTCTTGAAATGTCGGGCTTTAGATTAATGATAAAATCGCGAAGTGGAGTTTCTTTGCCATTCTGAATGGCGTAGTTGGTTAATAGCTTGATTCGTTACACTGGATTAAATACTTTGGCGATTTTCTGATGTCACCAACAGAACTTCCATTATTAAACGTTCAAGTGTTGTTACTTCAGTAAGTTCTTTAAAAATGCTCCAGTCCAAGATTTGTTCTAAAACTTTAAAATTCGGATCTTCAAAAAGCTTTGATTATGAGCGGTTTAATTTCTGTTGTTTGCCAGAAGTAGCGGCTTATTATAAATACGTTTCCAGTTAGTAAATCAGAAAATATCACGGATATTTATAATTTATTCATAATAAATTATGTTTTATATACATTTTTTAATTTTTTTTTGTTGTTACTATACACTCGATGATGTGTATTATATTTCTATATATTTGTATAATTTTAATTGATGATTTGTATTGAAGTCTCGAAAATTTTTGATCCCTAATTATAAAAAAATTCTTTGTATCATTTTCATATTTGTATATATTACAACATATTTTTACATTTTCTACATTTTTCTATAATACCTATTTTATTTATTTGCTATAACCTATGTTTATTTATTATCTTTCGTAATGGGATCCTTAAATAATCGTTAACAATTCATTCCTAATTATAACAATGTTATTCCTAATTATAATAAAATTTTTTGTGTAATTGAAAAAAACAATGAAATTTTTTTTGAGTTACATGATGACGAGTTACACTACGTCAGTTAGACGATGTACAATGGAAAAATATACAAATATTACAATATTATTCCATTTAAAGTTTGAATTTCTTCCCGAAGTTCCCCCCGAATTTTAAACCCTTTTTTCATAAAAAAAAAAATCATTTAAATTTCGAATGAATTTTATATCATCAATTACAAATAACAACAATAAAAAAACAATAATCATCAAGATTATTTGTTCATTAATATTAGTTAAATAATAAAAAATGAATAATAATTCTTTTACATATTCAAATAATAATTTAAATAATAGTAATAATAATAATAATAGTAATAATAGCAATAATAGTAATAATAATAATAATAGTGATAGTAATAATAGTAATTATAATAATCTTAACAATCAAAGTAATGGACAACAAGAATATCAAGGATATCAACCTCAATGGGATAATTATACTGCTAAAGGTAATAATCATAAAAATTTCTATCTTCTTTATTTCTATATATATATAAATAAAATATAATGCATATATTCACATTTTATCTATTTTATTTTAGATATCGAAATATTATCAGATATGATAACTCTTGCGACATATACGGCTAATAATAAGAAGAATAATAAAACTTTAAATAATTCATATTCATTCTTAACTTTATTTCGAGCATATGATGTTGTACTTAAAACACGTAAAATCGATCCTAATCATGATCGAATTTATTATCCATTCTTATTAAAATTTGTTTTGGTACCGGGAAATGATTGGAATGAGAAATTCGAAAATTTTATTAAGGTATTTATTCTTATTATTTGGATATTATTGGATATTATTTGTTTATGATTTGTTTACTATTTGTTTATTATTTGTTTATTATTTGTTTGTTAATTTCTTTATATTTTACTTTTTTTTTTTTTAATTCAGAGTCTTGGAATGTTGTCAAATGATGAATCAAATAATTGGATGTTTATTGGACGGGAAGTTATATCTGATGATTATGATCATGAAATTGAACGAGATGAAGATGATGAGGATGAGGATGAGGATGAAGATGGCGAAGATGGTGAAGATGAATGTGAATGTGGGGAACGAGAAGAGGAAGAAGATTATGATGAGTATGAGTATGGGAGTGAACAAGATGAATATGAATATGATGAGGACGAACGAGAAGAAGAAGAAGAATATGTTGAATATGAAAATGATGATGAACAAGAAGAAATTAATAGTATTTATAGCAGTAATAGCGGTAATAGTAGTAGTTCAGATGATAATGTTTCCACTGATAGTATTCTTAAATTAAAACAAAATGAAATTTATTCTTCTTCTCTTTTCGCAAATTCAATTGAATCCGTAATAAAGGTGGCGAATATTATTATTTATTTATTATTATAATAATATTAATGGAATATTTCATTGATGTACTAATTTTGTTTACATATTTTAGAGTCCAGAAACTTATAATAATTATAATAATTGGAATGATCCAATAAATTCAAAATCTACAAAATATACCATAGATATCAATTTTACCAATTTTCAATCTTCTACTAATTTCACTCAAGAAGAAGAAGGAGGTCAACGATCACCTTTACCTTCATCTTCTTCTTCATCACCATCATCTTCTTCTTCACCAAAACGAAAAAATATTTTATCTGGAAATTATAGTAAGAATAATAATAATAATTTGATTTTTAATAATAATAATAATAATAATAATAATAATAATAATAATAATAATAATAAAAACAATAATAATAATTCACAATTCTGGACGACGACGACAACAATCACAAGTTTAGAAAGTTTAGATAATTTAGAATCAGATGGATTTGAAAATCTGAATATTTCAAACTTTAAAGGATTAAATGATAAATTCATTTTAATAGATAAAGAAATTGAAAATTTAAATTCACAATTAGATAATCATTTAACAATAAATAATGAAATGGATGAAATAGATAAGGGTAAAAAGGGTGAACAATCTATTAAAACTGAGGAATCATTAATATCAGAAGAAAATATTATTTCCCAAAATAATAATGATGATGTCGATGATGATGATATTTTGGAAATAAAAAAATTTATAGGCATCAAAAATCAAATCAATAGAAATCCAATAGATTTATATAATAATAGTATTGGTAACGTTGGTAATATTAAATCAATAGCGAACAAATCACAAGATGATAAAGGTGAGAATGAAAATGATGATGATGATGATGACGATGAGAGTGAAAGTGAAAGTGAGAATACGGATATGGTGAAAAGAGTACAAATGATATTTGAAGGATGGCGAAGGTCTATTATCTTAATATCTAATATTTAAATATATTTATATCTAATATATAATATTTAAATATATTTATATTTAATATCTAATCTATGTAGATATACTTACGAAATAAGAATGTTTCGTGCAAGAGTAATACAACGATGGAAAATGGCGATATTAATAAATAAAAAGAATATTGAAAAATGTCATTTTCATCGATGGAAAAATGTTTATCTAAATAAATCGGTATTTCATATATTTATTATTTATTTTACATCGTTCAAATTATATTAATAATTATCATTCATGTAAATTCCGTGTATGTAATTTATTGATTATATAATAAATTCATTCATTCTCAGATTCTGATTTAATTAAATAATTCAAATAATTTATTCTTATTATTATTTCAGATTAAATTAAATCAATTATATTCCAATTGTGATTTATTGATTATAAAAAAACATATGAAAATATGGAAAAAGAGAAAATATGGTAAAAATATAAACAAATAAATTCAATTTATTTATTTTTAATTCTCCTTTTTTTTTTTTTTTTGTTTATTAAGTTGGATATAATTTTTATTCATAGTGTTATGTTTTTAGTATCTGATTTAGAAAATTGTGCGAAAATTTATATTCAAAGAAAATATTTTTCTCGATGGTTAAAAAGGTCAGTTATTATCAATTATTCATTAAATATTCATTAAACATTCATTAAATATTACGAAATTATATTCCTTCAATTATTATAGTTTACGAGAATACAATAAACTTTATGATATCGCCAAACGATATGACACGACTTGTTGTCAAAAAATTTTACATAAAAAATTTATTAATTGGCGATTAAATTTTGAAATGAAAACGAAAAAGAAATTATTATTAGCCAAAACTTATAAAATATGGAGAATTAAATTTATTTATTCATTACTTTCCAATGCTAATGATTATATTTTAATGCAGAAATGTTTTTTTAATTGGAGAATATCCTTTATTTATTTATTTATTTTATTATCTTTATTTATCTTTATTAATTTATTATCTTTATTTATTTATCTTATTTATTTATTTATTTAATCTATATTTGTTGTTTATTATTTTTAACTGTTGAAAATACGACAAATATTATGATAATTTAATTTCAAATTCACAAAAATCAAATATTTTTGATCCAACTGCAACTGATGAAGAATTATTATTCAATGTTTTCGAAAGATGGAGGGATCGATTTAATAATTACGTTTCTTTAGGTGAAATGGCCGAAGTAAGTATTTATCTATATTATCCATATTAATTATATTATTATTATTTTTTATATTTAATATTAATTATATGATTCACTCTAAATAATAATAATAATAATGATGATGATGATAAAAAATAGGATGATTACAATAATAAATTAACAAATGCAGCATTCTTTCAATGGAAGAGAGCTGCCCAAAGAAAGAAAAAATTGAAAAAAATGGCGGATAATTTCATTCTGAATCGATTTTTTCTTTATTGGTATAGTGGGTAAATAAATAAATTGATATTATTATTATTATTTATTATTTATTATATAATACAGATTTTAATTTAATAATAATTTAATAATTATTATTATTTTATTTTTTTAGATTTATCCAAAAATTTATAGTAAAACAAAAACGAAAAGAATTATTAGAAAAAGTTTTTCTAGGTAATAATAATTAATTATTTTTAATTTAATTATTTAATTTAATTATTTTTAATTTAATTATTATTAAATTAATTATTATTAAATTAATTATTATTAAATTGAATTTTATTTTATTTTTTATCACATTATATTTTTTTTTATTAAGAATGGCATTACTGGACAGAAGAATGTCGGAAAAATCGGTTGTCATCGTCGTCTTCATCTATTATTCAATTCAACGATAATGATAATACTGTAATAAAGCTATAGTCTAGCAAACGATTGCATCATATAAGATAAATAAATAAAATATGCCAAAATGTCAATATAACATTAAAATATAAAATATTTTATTAACAAGGCAATAAGCGAAATTTTCAAAGAATAATAAATTTAATAATATATAATAATATAATTACACATCCATTACACATAAATGTTTGGGGATTGGGATAAAGCTTGGATAAATTTGATTAGTAATCACAAATTGAAAAAATTCAGATAACCTATGCAAATCTCGAATATATTGTTCAATACTGTGAAGACAAGATTAAAGGTGAACATTATCAAAAATCAAATTGTAAAATTGGAGCGGGATATGAAGGGTATGGTTGAAAGACTCGATATTAATAGTAGTCATTTACAAGTTTAAAAAGATTAATTATCAACCCACAAATCCAGAATTTGATTATACCGAGTTTGTCCCACGTAATATAAAATATAGAGGCCAAGAACCTTTACCCTCACACATGAAATTTCAAACACCACGAAGCGAAGATTACGCAAAAAGGACTTCCCGGAAGCCTAAATATCTAAATACTGTCGATTAGAGATATTAAGATCGGAGATAATAGGCGTTTTTGGGTAGGGCAGGAAATTTGATCTGCCATTTAATTTTCCAGCCACGACATTTGCATCCCGTGAACGAAGCATGTGTATGCAATTATGATCATGTGACAAACGCGCTACGATCAAAGATAGAATGAATATTTTTTGGGTTTAATGTTGATTCAATTCTTGTACAATAAAATATTTTTATAAAGACATAAATTTGAATTAAAAAGAATGAGAAAAAATATTTGTGCTATGCAAACATTGATAATAATTTTATATTATATAACTGGAATAATTTGATATATGTGTAATCCATATGTAACGTGACGTATTAAACATAAATATACCTCCTTTTCCTAAAAAAATAAATTATTTTCACCTCACTTTTCGTCTAAAACTCTATAACTTCGACTACTGGAAATATTAAAAGTAGGTTTACTTATTGTTTTTTATATTCTTTTTATCATTTAAATTATATCTTTTAGTATAAAGTGATCACTTTTCAATTATTATTGATATTTTTGTTGATTTTATGTGAGGGAGCCTCACGATTTCGAAGATTTCAATTGTCATTTTGTCTGTGTTATTCTTTATTACCAACATGCTTACTTTGTTTATTTTGTTTCTCATCTTATTTTTATAATTTAACATGATATTTTTTATGTTTTCTAGTAAACTATTGTTTATTTTTTGAGAATACGTTTATCATGTAATCATGAGAACCTTCATTCTGAGTTTTTTAGTTTGGGTAAATAAATATATGGTCGTTCCATTTTTTTTGAAGTAACACCAGTAGTACAATGATATGTAAAAATGAAGTTAGTAAATTTCAATAATATTAAATAAATTATATTAAATAGTCACATGATCCATAGTATAAGTCGCGTATTCACGTGATATTGATATACAAATTTCATAATTATAATAATATAGTATTGTCTGGTGCTCCTCAAAAATAATAAAATAAAAAAATTTCTTATACAATAAAAAAAATTTTTTAAATTAAATTAGACTTTATATATGTCTGGAAATATTACAATATCAATTTTATTATCATTAATTATCACTATCAAAATCACTAATATCATTAATTTCATTATCTAACAAATTTACAGTTTCATCTGATTCTTTATAATTTTTTGCTCTTTTGAGTGCCTTTTGTCACCAACTAACTATTATTTTTGAATTTATTTTTTTTTAAATGCATATAAAAGTATATTTCTAATTGTCAAGAGATCCGAATATGAACCTGATTTTATTACTTTTCCCTTTATAACTACCCAAATACCTTCAATTGGCTAAAGTTCACAATGATAAGGAGGGATAAAAAAAACTTGATAATTATATTTTTTTGCTGTTTCAATACAACATCAGGAAATTTTTCAGGGCGTAAATTTCCGTAACACAAATGGGACCCACGGAAATTTACATCCAAAAATTTAATTTTTTTGACTTTGATCGCAATTTACGAGACAGGAAGTGATTTTCTACTAAAGTATTTCTATTACAGATCGAAAGCCCTGGTTCTTGACTACAAGATGATATGTAAATTATTCCTGTGCATTGATATCCGCAGAGATATTCACGTTTAAATTTTGAACGTCCGTGAAAAATTCGGTATAAATTTTCTGTAAATTTTCGTAATTCTGCTGGAAATTTATCGTGAAGTAATGAAAATTTCCAGCAGAATTATGAAAATTTACGGAAAATTTATGCCGAATTTTTCACGGACGTTCAAAATTTTAAACGTAAATATCTCCGCGGATATTGATGCTACAGGAATAATTTACATATAATCTTGTAACCAAGAACCAGGGCTTTCGATCTGTCATAGAAATATCTTAGTAGAAAATCGCTTCCTGTCTCGTAAATTGCGACCAAAGTCAAAAAAATTGAATTTTGGGCATAAATTTCTGTGGGTCCCGTTTGTGTTACGGAAATTTACGCCCGAAAAATTTCCTGATGATATCTTCGACCGTATACAAATATTTTATCATTACGTCATTATCTAAATTTAATCAATCCATTTCCACAGGCAGAACTTATTCAAACAGATATAATACTTCAACGATAACTTCACATGAAATTATTATTCCAAATAATAATTTTCTTGATGAAATATATAATAAAGATTTTCATTATTCCAGATTAATAGCAAGTTTCATTCAGGAAAATGACATCTTAAAAATATCAATCCCAATAAATAATTCAAATTTGGAACCATTATTTTTTTTCTGATTTATTTACTAATGGGAAAGGTCACTTTTATGATGTTATAAATCAACAGGTATCCAATAATAATAATAGAGAAGAAATATATGAAAAATATATTAAACAATGATTGATGAATTATGATCTGAAATGAAGATTACATTACTATTGGTCTTCATGGTTTTATTTGTAATTAGAAAAATTACAACATCATCAAAATACATAATGCCTATTATGACAATCTCATTTAGACAATATCGAATTACTAAATGTTTAAAATTTACTTTAACAAAGTTCATATGAATCTCATAATATAATTATTGAGAATAAAACATTTTTACTTCTAACATTCATACGTACAGATAATATCTATTTTCATGAAAGACAACTTCATCTAAATACGATGTTATAAAAATTGGGATTGTCTACTTTGTTTATTATATTAAGTATAACAGAAAATCATTAAACTTACTTACATGAGATTTTTGCCAATAGTAATAATGGAAATACTTTATCAACCAATTGACCTTTCCATTGTGCTAATTATTTTGTTTACCAATTTCAATCATTAAAGAAGGAACTTTATAAAAAATTTGATCTTATAGGATTTGATGAAATAACAAATTTTTTTGATCGTGTAGAATTTCAAAACAGGGGAGCAGCTCACACTTACAATTGTTACTGACAACTAATTCTATTGAAATCATAATTAGAAATGATAAAATTTGTTTAACAGTTTCTAATTCATTATATAAACTAGAATTATATTCTGCAGTCATAGCTAATTAAATTCATACATGTAATCAAAAATGTGAAGGTCCAGTAACCTTAGAACAAGTATGTAAAAAAGAATTTTTACATCCCTTCAGTAAAACAACATATTATGAAGAAGGTAATTATAGATATATATATAAGTATTTGTTTGAAGCTAACTTTTGGGTAGTCTCCTATCATATACCAATGTTGTTGATCTGAAATACTTATATAAATATACAATATATTACAAATAGGAATTTTACAAAATATATTGTAAAATATATTGCAAAATGTGAATCATCTCATATATTTAATATTCATAAGAATGATAAATTACGAGAACATGCCATAGCAAGAAGACTTGGCTCTATGGAATTAATGTTTCTCTTACTGGATCATCAAATCTGTAATTCTTTCATGACTATAAAGTTTTTATTTACTAAACCCCCTACTACAAGAACACATGCAATCCTTCTTATATATATGATTGATAAAAATAATGATAATCCTATTATGATAATCCCTATTATGATAATCCCTATTATGATAATACAGTAACAAAATATATGTACCATCCCTTATTACCAGAATTTGATAATTTTATATACCTTCAATATTTTGAAAGATATTCTATTTCACCTTCACCATTATTATCAACATCACGTCAGATTTTTTGAGATTAATTGAATAATTATATAGTGAAACATTTAAAAGAAATAATAATCCAATATTGATTTCTTAAGATTAAAGATGGTGAATTATATTTTTATCAACAATTATTATTAAATGTTTCAACAAGAAATGAAACTGATTATCAAATAAGATCAAATGGAACATATTGTGAAAAATTTTTATCAATATTTTCTGAATTTTTAAATACATTACAAAATCAAATTACAAATACCCATCAATCATAAATAATAAATTTTAATAATCAATTTGTAGAAATATTAAATAGATTATTACAATCTTTTGGTAATTAACTTTCAAATAATCTATCAAATATTATACAAAGACAATTACAAAATTTAAAAATTCTTTCAAATATTTATCCAGAAACTGTAATGTTGAAATTACTCCTGGATCAGTATCATGTACTATTAACAATTTCAATGTACATGGGTAAAAATAATAGAAACAAGTGACCATATTATTTTATAATTGGTTCTGCAGGAACTGATAAATCATATATTATAAATATGATAAAAAATATACTTGATCAGAGGCATTCAAATTATCTTTTATTGACTCCTACTGGAATTACAGCTCAAAATATAGGAGAAAAAAAAATTTACTCTAAATTACATATTGTATCTACCTATGAAAATTTTTATACTCAAGCTTATACTAACAAAGAACTTAATACAAAATTGAAAGAAATCGATACTCTAATTATTGATGAAATTTTCATGGTTTCAGAAAAACTTTTTGATTTTATCTTTGATCTTTTTGCAAATCTTCATCAAAATTCTATTGCCTTTGATAGTATAAATATAATAGTGGTTGGAGATTTATTTTAGCTTCCTCCTATAACCAAACAACCTATATTTCATTTAGCTATTTAGAAACTATTTTATTCCTTATTTTTAAAAACTTCTCAATGTTAAAGTAATGATCAACAATTTTATCATATGTTAGAAAAAATAAGAGTAGGTCATATTTCAGATAAAATATGGAATATATTACAACAACATCATTCAGAATTTTTTATATATCCTATTATTGACATATTATTTGATACAACCCATATCATAGGTTTTCGAGAAAGTGCAAAACAGATTAATAGAATAATCTGTAATATATTACTTGTTTCAGATAATAAGTTTTTAATTTTCAAAGCAGTAGATATAGTGAATTCTGAATTTTGGGATACCTCTTCTTCAGAGCAAATGTTTAAATTAAAAACTAATTTATCATCTTATATTTATTTACAACCTGGTGCATGTGTTATCTACCTTAACAATTTTTAATTGAACAAGGAATTTGCAATGGAACAATTGGGATTGTTACAGATATTGACTTAGTAGAACAATTGGTTAGAGTAGCATTCTCTATTAAAGAAGCTATAATAGATATTCAAGTTTATAAACATACTCACTACTTTGAAATCTATGGAAATAATTGTAAATGTATACAATTTCTATTACAAAATTGGTTTGCCTTGATAGTACATAAAACTCAAGATCTCACTTTACCAAAAGTATGTTTAGCATTAGATGGTAATATTTTTTCATCAGAACAAGCATTGTTGCTCTTAGCAGATGTCCCACCTGGGATAATATTGAAATCTCCCATTTAGATAGATCAGAATTTATTACTGATCCTAATGTTATTCTTGAATATCAAAGATTGAATAATATTTCCAGATCTCATTCAAATTTATTTATTTAGCTTTAGCTTCAAGAAACTGTAATAATTTATGTCATATTAAATTTATAAAGATTAAAATTACTACAATTCCATTTGTTTTTAAATTTTGATCATTCAATTTATTTATTATTTTTCTTTTTATTTTTTCTTTACTTATAATTGAAATTATTTTTTATATTATGTACACGTATATTGCATGAGCGGGTGATCGTGGTCATTGGAAATAAAAGATATTGGCTAGTTTTTATAATAATAATTACTAGTATTTGTATACGCGCAGAAAGTTAGTTTGTAATTATGCAAACTCATGATATTTGGTTACATTGCATTGTTCTACATCTGTTATTTATGGTTTTGTTTTCATAGTTAATTTATTATTACTCGTCAATTATATATTATATATGTACAAAATAATCAAAGGAAAATTCATTCTTTTGTTTTTTCAACTTGAGAATTTTCATTTCCTATTTCGTTAATTAAAACTTCTAACGTTGGTTCTTTTTGTATTTTCCTTTTATCATGTCCCAATATCACTATATATTAAATAAATGTTATGGAAGAAAATATTTATTTATTTATTCAAGAAAATAATTTTTTACAAATGAAAATTTTTAATATTTCAAAGTTATTTCTTTAGATCATTACCTCGTTTATAGAGTATAAAACTAGAACCCACGAAAAATGGGAGGCTTACAATAATTAAAGTCCAATGACTATTTAAAAAAGAATCAAATTTTAAATTTTGACGGTTGAAACAAATGTTATTTTTTTGATTTCTTACAGTCTCAATTTGCGAACATATGGTGTTGGTGTTGTTTTTTTCTTTACTTCCATGTTTTTTTTTTTGAAAAAAAAAAATTGTTCACAATTAATAGATAAGAAAAAGTAAAAATTTTAAGTCCATTTGTCACAAAAAAAAATATCAACCAAGAATTAAAAACATTATTCTTAAAAGAATAAATTAAAGGTATTGTATATCAATTGGAAAATCCCCAAATTTTTTTTTTTTTTTAAAAAAAAAAAAAAAAAAAGAGATGGGGGATTATCTAAATTATCTGTTATCTATGTTATTAAAAGTTACATTAATAATATTAATAATAAAAAAAAATATACAATAGACTAATATCATTATGCAATATATATGTATTAAAGTTTCACAATGAATTTTTAATGATTTTCCAATAGAAATATACTTCCTTGATTAAAAAAATTGCAAACAATGTCGACTCAAATGTCTACCCCTGAACAACAAGAAAATCTTCAAGAATTCTCAAAAATTATGGCTACTTTACCTTCTGAAGTTTTTGATGAAATTTTTAGGCACCTCAAATTTGATAAACGTTCTTTGTATTCATGTCTCTTGGTAAATAGATTTTGGTGTCGAAAGGTCGTTCCCTTGATTTGGAGACGACCGATGCCCTATAATCAAAAGAAAACTATTTGTGTTGACATTGGTGTTTTTATTCCATTTTTTGATGAAAGTGAAGTAGCATCATTAATTAAAGGTGGTATGACGATTCCAGATCGTCCTTACCCATTTTTTAATTATGCTCAATTCTTACATATTCTTGACATTGATGGAATTGAGAGGGCAACAAAACATTGGTTTGGAAAAATTACAAAGGAACGAACCCAGCAACAGCAACAACAACAACTATTACAACAACAACAACAACAACAACAACAACAACAACAGCAAATACAACAACAACAACATCAACAACATCAAGAATCAAGTTCGGAAATTGGGTCTATAGTATCAAATTATACAATACCCGATAACATGGATATTAATTCACCTATAAATGCCATGGTCGTTTCTTTATCAAAAATGTTTATGAGGTGTGCTACTAATCTTAAATATTTGATATTAAATCCATTTGGTGGATATCGCGATATTCCAGATAGTAAAATATTTATCGAGGGTCGACCCGGTTTAACAAATTTGCGTAAATTTAAAATCAGATTTAATTCTTTATCCGTTATTCGACCAGAATATCGAAAAAATATTTTTGATCTTATGAATACCCTTCCAAATATTTGTACTGGAATTCATCATTTAGATATAACAAGGGTTAGAGTTTCTAATCCGGATGTTGCTCGTATGGTAGGAGGTGTAATTAAATCTCAACATCAATTATTTTATTGTCGATTTTTTAGAGTTGATGGAGATGTTGATTCATTAATATCAATGTTGAGATTTCAAGCAAATAATTTGATTACCGTAGTATTTGATGATACCGATTTGGCAGATGTTTCTCTTGAACCTTTAGCCAGATGTATCAAATTAGAAGCATTGGTATTTCGAAAATGTCGAAATATTAATCTCGAAAAATGGAAAACTTTAATCAATGCTCCTTTTAAACTTAAACTATTACATTTAAGTGATCTTTCGTCAGATGTTATAAAAGCGATCATAGAAAAGGCGGGTGATAATTTGGAGAAAATTGGAATGAAAATTGTTTCTTCAAATGTTGTTGAAGGAATCGAAGCGATTATGACCAATTGTCCAAATGTTACACATTTATCAATAAATTGCATACAACCAAATATTGATACAAAAATTTTTGTCCCTTTAATGAGTAAACTTAAATTACTTACACATCTTACAATTTCAATATGGGAACGAGATGAAATCTTGACAGAATTATCAAATGTTAAATTCGAGAAATTAAAATATTTAGAACTTGCTACAAATTTTAATATCAAAGGTTTAGAAGTATTCTTGGAGAAATGTGATTCACCATTAACAACAATAATTATGGAATCAATTAATGAAGAAGATTTGAATATGTTTAAGAAATTCTCAAGAGAAAAAGGAACGTTAAAATGGTTAGGTGTGGAATTTACTAAATCTGGAGAAATATCAATGAGTCATTACGATTACTTAAGAAATATCTCCAATTTGGCAGAGGGATATTTTCAAGTTTTTCCTGCTAAACAATTAAGGGTTAGAGATAAATATTTATAATTTTATTATTATTATTATATGGGAAAAAAAAAAAAAGAAAAAAAGCGTCAATTAAATGAAAAGGAAAAAAGAGGGATGATCTAAAGATATATTTATTATTCTTCATAGAAGAACATTTAAATTCTTTCACATTTTGATTACAAGAAATGAAAAAAAAAGGTCATAGCTTGTGTATTTGTGTATATTTTAGTTAAATTAGATGTATTTTTTTTTTTTGAAATATATATTTAATTTATCAGGTATATATTTGATATCTAAGAAATTCACTAATTCTGTAATTGTTGAATGATTTTTACACATTGAACTTTTATAAACAAATAAAATGTCTTATTTTTTTGCCGGAAGAAATAAATAAAATCTCACATTTTAAATATGAGAAATAATAATAATAAAAAAAATATCCCAAAGAAAATATTTTATTTAAGTAAACTCTCAATAAAAAGTTATGCGTAATGAGACTATGATATATATATATATATATGTATGTATGTATTTATATTATATGCATTTCTAATTAATTTTTAATTTTTTTGCTTAACATAGATTTATCTACACTCTCAGAAACACGTCGTTTTTTTGTTTCGTTCACGTCATCAACACGCTCACCATTATTTTCATGTTGAACTAAATTCATAATAATGTTTTGTGAATCTAAATTACAAGGTGATGATTGTGTAGTAATAGATAAAAGTTCATCTATACCTTCATCATCATCATCATCATCATTTTCTTCTTCATCTTCACTCATTGGTATATCGATTCCTCCATAATATCTTCCTGGTATAGGAAATAATTCGATTGGAAGTTCTTCATTATCTGTTAATGATATATTGTGTATTGTCACCAATGCTGGAACATCCATGGAACTTGCTACATTTCTACAATATCCCAACATTTCTTCTTCTAAATGACGTAAGGGATACTTAATAGCAAGATTCTCAAAATGTTGCTCAAGTTTTCCTTTGACATTCAAAAACTATTAAAAAACAATTTTAGATTCATGTTAGATACATGATATTTCATTATTAATTAAATTTGGGAGAGAAATATATATCTATATATGAACCTCTTCCATTCTTTCTTTTTTCTTCTCACGGAATTCATCCAAAAATTTTGTACGTTGCCATAACAAATAATCGTCCGCTCGATTTGCCGCGATATGTGGATTTTCATCTTCACTTTCCGAGTCATCAGAATGGTAATCAGACGGATCTATGTCACCATATGAAAATATCTCTAATAGAGCATCAATTGAACTATATGAATCACAAAGATAACATTCAATTGCACTCTTTATAAAAGAAAATTATAAATTTAGTTAATAATATGTAAAGCAAATAAATATAAAGAAAATATTTTATTTATTACTGAGAACTTTTAGTTTACCTGAGTCAATAAACTCAATAATAAATCATACCAAATCGGTTTAACTAATATTGAAGGTTCATTTTGTTCGAATCCTGATTTTTTGTGTGTTAATCGATATGTAATAGCGTTATTGTTTATGAAAACTGGTATCGAATCTATCAATCCTGGAGCGGTTTTACGTGTTGGAATTGGTTTAGTTCTCTTACGTGACCAAGGGGAAAAAGTGAAAATTTGATCCGGGTTTTGATTACACTCATTACAAATGTCAAGTCGATGTTTTCTACAACGAGATAAAAGAGGATTCTTAAAATGTTTTTCAAATTTTGCTAAATTTGATGGTAATTTGCGTTTATTTGTTGAAGATTGTAAAATACGCGTGGATTTTAGTGGTGAAGATGATGTCAAGTTGGATCGATCAAATACTAAATGTAATAATTGACATAAACACAATCGATGTTTAAGTGGTAAAGGAAGCGACAATGATGTTTCTTGAGTACGATATGATTGAAGCAAACCTAAAAAAAAAAAAAAAAAAAATGAATGATTTTTTTTATAAAAACCAATGGGACATGTGGCGCAGTCAGAATAAAATACCTTCGACAATTGCATCAACACCTTGACCTTTCTTTCGATGAGATGCGATCGTCGATGGTTGTTCTGTCAAATCTTGTAAATCATTTTTTGCTTGTTCGAGTCTTGCGTTTATTGATAAGTAGAGTAAATAGTCCAAAATGACATTCGTTGTAGAAATTGGTGTGTTATTATCGGATTCTTGATTTTGTTGGCTTCTATGATATTCGTTTTGATTATGAAGGTGGTTTGAAAGGTGTCGAGAAGACTTAAATATATCATTAATAGATGATGACGTACTAAAACGTTCAATTTGGTTTGGCATAGAGGACAAAGTTGAAGGTGTAGCTATTTCAACTACAGAAAGAGGAAGTTGAAGTCGCGAATCATTTGAAGTACCATTATGATTATTTTGATAAGGTTGATTTGCATTTGAACGTGGCATTATATTTTATGAGAGTTCTTATCAAGAAAAATGATGTATTCAAAATTTTCACGGAATTTTATTAAAAGTATATTTATACGCGATTCGAAAATAAAAACAATTTTTCCGTAATGCGAAAAAAAAATTTTCGAAAAATTTTTATTTAATCAAAAGATAAAAGATACTTTCGGGTATATATATAAATTATTATTTTTTGGATATAATAAAATAAAATAGAAACTAGATAAAATACATTTACAGGTTGGAATACTTTATCGACCACCAAATTTGGAAGAATAAGGGAAATCTCGTTAGAATAAACATATTAATTTACACACACGTCACTAACTATAAATTTAAATTGATATTATAAGGAAAAATTCGGAAGTTTAGAAAACAATAAATGATTCCGTTATCCGCGCATCTTTCCGTAAAAATTCATTGCCTATTTTTGGTCAGGAATTAAAGAAACAAAAAAAAAAAAAAAAAAAACTGATAAGAATGAAAACTGGATATCAGCCTCAAAGCAGGAACCCACGAGGTTGGCGATAAGTAGTTACTTTTAGTAATAAGCATTTTCAACGTTTTAATTAAATGCAAAAAGAATTTGACAGTTATAATTGAAACGGGAAGATCATTATCAATTCAACTGCAAGTTTTAATTAGATAGAATATTTTTTAACCGACAAAAGTATGACAAAATAATGATGATAAACAAACTTTTTTTTATTATAAGGAAAGACTGGAACGTGGAAATATCAATTGGTCGTCTCCACATTTTCCTGTGACTAAATTCGGAATCCGAGAAACACAAAAATACAAATCACTTTTTAAAAATTAAATTTGAGTCACTAAATAACAACAATTTTATATAATGATAAGGCAACGGGAGAATTTCGGACATTTTGGAAAAAACACATGATTTAGTTATGATAGTCTATTATATTTCAGTAAATCTTTTTATGTCTGTAACTTTAATAAGACAATATTTTAATTTGTTATCTTTACCTAATTTCTTATCTTCTGTATCAAATATGTCGTGTTCACATTTCTTTTATTTTCAAACGAGTAAATACATAAACAAGTAAATGTATGACAAGCCACAATAAAAAAAAAAATTCGAAGACAAAACTAAAAAAAATAGGAAAGAAAAGGAAAGTTATTATGTGGAGAAAATAAGTTAATAATATCGTGGGTAAATTTTGAAGGCGTGAGTAATTTTACACAACATGAAATTTTAGATGTTTTGGATTTTTCTTCGGTGAGATCGGAAATAGAGTAAATAATGAGTGAAATTATATGAGAAATTACAATTGATGTTTTATATAGATGATCAAGTTAGTTTTTTATCTTATCAATCATCTCATTTTTATAATCCCTATCCGGTTTACATCCTGTATTTTTCAAATCTTTACATTGTAAGAGAACAGCGATTTTTGTTCTCTTCCACATTGTTCTTAACGAAGTGGGCGGCGAGTTATTTTTAGTATACCCCTGATTTATTCTAACTTTAATCACATGATTTATCTTAACGATAACGAACAAAAAAATAGTGAAAATATAAGAAGTCAAATTTGGGAAACAAAAAAAAATGAAAATTTCACGATACCGCAGAAAATTATGATTATATAATAATAAAGTTATTACCAGCGTTAAAAATTCAATTTACTTCTTTAATAAATCATATGTCAATAAGGGGATTGATAAGAGATAGATAATTAGAAGGGTATGGATTGTCTCGACAAATTGTTTTTAAAAATTTCATTGTTTCTTAACTAGTAATCAGCCTTGTCAAAAAATTTTTTTATATTATTGATAGGGTTTCCGTGTTTAGGATTTCCTTGTTAAACCCCATTGGTGTTTGATTTCCGGTTTACGTTATAAAATAGGAAATCATAAAAATATTTTCTTTATCCCTTTTTAATTTAGACCAACCATTTCTAAACATGATATGCATTCTGTTCCCATTCGTTATAAGTTATGGAAATTTTCGTAAGAATGGTGGCAGGTGCGTGGTAAAATTCTTCTAAGAAATATATAAATATTCCGCTATATTACTAAGTGAGAATAAAATCCGTCTTTACTATATTCTGTTAAATCATGTGATACACAGATTTTGTTTTGGGTAAATTTATCCTAGACCTTGGATTTTTACTTAACTCACAATTGTATATACCACCTGGATGCTACTTTAAAATATATATATATATAGGGGATCTAATATACAGTAAAAATCTATTTTGAGGACTCCTCATTTTGTTTTCTATTGAACACACGCGTGATGTGACGTGTGACCCCTCCCTATTTAATAGCCTGTATGGAAATTTCCTATTTAATTTAAAGTTTAAAAATCAAATAAATACTAAACAAATACGTTATACCCGTTGTTTATTAATTTGATAATTTTCTTATTTCAATGATTTTTATATGCGCCTTAAAATTATTTATAAACCATTTTTGGTTCAATTCTGTTAATACAGCACCACCAAGACCTTTGTATAAATCTAAAAGTGATTCTGCTTTTATAATTTTTACAGTTACAGTGACGATGAATCCCAAACTCATCCTCTATATTAAAAATAAAATTAAAAATTAATAAATGCAAAAATAAAGAATTGCGTAATTTAAAACAGTTCGAGATGAGTTAATTTAAAATTTACCCTTTGACTCAACATTCTAACTTTTACAGTATCCAAAGGATGACAGCCAGCATAATGCTTTTCTTAGCTTCTTCTAATACTGGTCGATAAAAATTAAATTTGTGTCACATTTCTATATTATATATTATATATTATTCCAAAAAATAAATTATTATTCACGTGATAAAGTAAAAAATTATACATGATGTATAAAATACAATTTATTTTTGCATTTTGTAATGGTAAATTAGTGAACCATTTCGAAACTTGCGAAAATTCCTCCTACAAGAATCCTTTCCCTTTGACTGTAAGTATCATCTATACAAGATATATTTTTAATCATTTACAATCATATGACTTTTTTACCCTCGACCCAAGGTCCACACTCTTAATCTAGACACAATTATATTTATCACGTGTTAGATACTTTAGAAAAAATTTATTTATATAGGGTGGTTAGGATAAAGATCTCCCGGGGTCTATTTTAAATATTTATCTATGCATTTTATTTTAAATAACCAATTTATTATCTATTTTAGGTTATTTTTTATATCCTAATTCTTTCAAACTTATTTCTAATGATTCAATAGTTTTATCTATATGTCTTCGATTAGGTTCTGTAACACTAATACCCATATGACTAAATTATATTTGTGAAAAAATAATGAATAAATTAATAAATTAATTGAAAAATTTTAGAAAAAGAAAAGAGAGATAAATTTTTGTAATAAATGATACAAACCCAATTCTAAAGTATTTGGAAGCAATTGATTTATGTAAACCACCTGCAATTAAAATATCACGCCCTGCAACTTTAGGAAGAAGATCTAGAGCTTGAATTCCTTCCGGATAATAAACAGCCGTCATACCATTAGCCGCAATTTCCCTAGATTTGGGAACCTAATAATTAAAATAAAAAATTAAAATTATAAAATAAAAATTATTTTATTTTAGAAAATTCAGATTATTTTTAAAGTAGAAATAACCTACAAATTTTAATCCCATAGCTTCAATAGCATCTTTAACATGATTACTTGCTTCTTTATGTTGTTGAAAGCGTGTCTCAAGTGAAATTGAAGTAATTTGTTTTAAACTTGTATTCAGAGCATAAATTAACTGCACAGGTGGAGTAGCAAAATAAGCACCTTTTCGGGATTCATATGCATTCATGACTAAATAATATTTTTTTTTCAAATTTTTCAAATTTAAAGATATTAAATAATGAAATTGAAATTGAAATAAATATATAAATATAAATAAATACTTGGTAACCAGTGAGCCCAAGAAGCATAATAACTTGTGATGGGTGATTTTCGTTGTTTGAATACTTCCTTTTAAAATATTAAAAAATTATGATTGTTTATTAAATTATTAATCACATAAAAAAAAAATGTAAGGATTAAAAATAAATAAAACTACGAAAAATATATTTACAATCGCTCTTTCACTAGCAATCACAATTGATAATCCTGGTGGAACGCCTAATGCCTTTTGACTTGCCGTTAATACAACATCCAAACCCCATTCATCAACACGAATTTCTTCTGCTCCGGCTGAACACACACCATCAACTATAATCAATGTATCGGGTGATTTTTGTTTTACTAATTCTGCAATAGCTTTAACATCCACGAGTACTCCAGTCGATGTATCAACATGAGTAATCGTGATCGCTTTGAATTTCTTGGAAATCAAAATATCAGCGATAGTTTTAAGAGAAAGTTGATCTCCAATTTCAGCTTTGGCTTGAGTAACATTTGCCCCATAAACCTTCAAACTAAAAATATCATCATAATAAATCAAACAATTATTAAATCAAACAATTATTAAATCAAACAATTATTAAATCAAACAATTATTAAATCAAACAATAATTAAGTTAATAGCAAATAACTTATCATACCATTCGTAAAAAGAATCTCCAAAGTAACCGGTATTTAACACCAAAACATCTTCACCAGGTTCCACCAAATTAGAAGCGACCATATCCCATCCTAATGTTCCTGAACCAGAAACAATAAAAGGTTGCCCTTTATTTGTGAAAAATAATTTACGTAAAAGTTCAATGCTTTCACCAAATATAGGAATAAAAGAAGGTGAAACATGTGAATTGGCAGGTGTTGACATTGAAGTTAATACATCTTCATGAAATTCCACGGGACCTGACAAAAAAAAATTAATTTTAATTATTTTAATGTTATGTAATCATTAAATAATGATAATAATAAAATAAATAAATTATTAATTAGAAAAAAAGTCATCAAAATTTCTTTTTTACCTGGAACCATGCATAACTTGTGAGGTGTAGTCATAGTGGATAAAATTCGTATTGACTTATAACAGTTATTTAAAATATTCACAGCCCCAAATTTTTTATTAAAACTAATACGAAAATTATAAAGACAACGAGAAAACAATGAAAATGTGCTCATTTTATTAATTTTTTTTTTCGAACTGGATTATTTGATTATAATGCAGGGATGATCAATTTCCTCAAAAGTTGATCACAAAATCTTTTTCAATGACGATTTGATGTAGTGTAATCAATTAATCAGTTACTGATCTTTATACATGTTTTGATATGTTTCCATCGATTTTATCGATTTTTTATTTTTTACGAAATAACAAGATTTAAAAGGGTAATACAGAAAATTCGAAATCTTCAAATTTTACATTTACCTCATTAAGTAATTTGTGCAATTCGCATTATTCATATGGTGGAATGCAATCAACCTTTAAATGCATTAAATGGACAAGTGTATTTTCGGTAAAATCCTGTTAAATATTAAACGTGGCTTAGTAAATCTATATCTTATACATACAATATCGTAATTTAATGGAAACCTTAAATACATCTAACAATTCGTCGGCATCTTTATCACCATTTTCCTTTGCTCTATTTAATCAGCATAGCCCCTATAATATCTCTCAGCTCCATGTCCTTCATAAAAGTATCTTCCAAGAATGTTTTGTCTATCAAAATCATCATTCAATTTCTTTACTATACTAAAGTCCTAAATTAAACTGTGCTGTAGAATATTCTTTTTTCAGCAGCCTTCTGAAACCAATTAGATGATTCCTTTTGTTTTCAACAAAACTTATATCATTAAATAGTAAGAACAATAACATTTCCAGCAAGGCAGATTTTGTATACCTTCTATTGTTGCCTCTGGCTAATTGATTTTCAAAGGCTAATTAAATTTGGCTAAATTCTGATTTGCTGACGCAATTCTGTTCACGTGGTAAAACATTAATTATCAACTTTACCGATAATATTTTAATAAATTATCTTAAAACGGTGATGATTTAAAAAATATCGATGGTACAAAGATGAAACACATATATTCTTGTAGCTAAGAACCGGGGCTTCCGATCTATAATAAAATATTGTATTAGTAGAAAATCGCTCCTCGTTACGTAAAATCAAAGATAAAATTAATTATTTTTAAAAAATTTAAAAATAATTATTTAGTAAATTTTATAATTGCGCCATTATTTAGCCTTTTCACCAGAATTTAGCCATTGCGCTTGATCGTGCCAGAGAAAGTTTCCGGCTAAATTCCTGGCTCAATTCATATTGCACCTACCACACATAGTTAGAATGTAATTGTATGTGTTTTATTCTCTTTACAGTTAGAAAGTATGATGAAGCGTGTAGTTATATAATTTTTCTAACTGTGAGTGCCATTATCTTCGTGAGGGGTATGATCCCGGCAACTCTTGTTCAGATTGGCCGAAAGGGAATTTTTGACTAATGCTTAGCTGGCAACGATCGATCATGCGGTAATCTAGATTTATTTTAGATTTAGCAAGATCCCTTAGATGCAATGATGTCAATTTTTTTTTTTTTTTTTGCATGTTGATAACCACTTTTAAACGTGGGTATACATTGATAAGTCAAAACAAAAATGAATTAAAATTTAAAAATGAACATTTATATCTGAGACATTGATTTCGAAAGGTTCGTGAATTTTATCGTGTTCCCGGAACCTGTTAAATGAGATGAATTTATTATGTAAACAAAATAAATGATATCAATTATTTTTTGTGAAAGTTCCAAATATTGAGGATCGACACATTGAAATGGATGAAAATTTATATATAAGAAATTTCAATAATTCAGGTGAAAGTTTAGTTATTCCAAAAACATTTTAAGAATATTTTTCAGAGTTCTAATTAAATAAAACAAATTTATTCATTTAACTACAAATTTCCATAAATGAAATTAAGCATTTGATAATTGTTTTGCAATCCATTTTTTAGAAATTTTGTTTCAAATTTTGACGAAGAGAATTCCAATTTTAATAAAATCAGCAAATTTAAATAACTGAATGAATATTGATCAATTTATATTTTCAAATTTCGAAATATTGATGGTAATTATTTAGCTGCCGAGGAATATGGATTTCAAATTTAGGTCTTGCAAATATATTTTTATTAAAATTTATCCATAAAAAAAAATGTTTTTAGTTTTAATTTTATTATTTTATGTATTACTTTATCATTTACACCTACACCTTTTTTATCCAAATTTATATTAAAATGTTATATAATATATTTATAACTAATTTATATTCTTTAGTTTATCATTATCATTTATTCCGTGGATAATATATTATACATTTTTTTCTTAATGAATTTGGTCCACGAGTTAATAAAGTTCCTGATTTGGATGACAAAAAATAAAGTTTGACTAATAACAGTTTGGAATCTATTCTAATTATACTACTAATACTATTAAAGTTAAGTTATTTAATTTGTTGATTTTTGGAAAATTTCTCGTGCATTAACAATTCATTAAATTGTTCTGTTTTTCATACTAGGAATTTTACTATGAACCGAGAATATCAAGTATAAATATTGATGACAAACTTTTTTTCAAAAATATTATTAGTAAACTTATTTGTAATCATTCAACCATTTATTATGCTGGCACAGCAGCCATGGCTTTGGTATATGTAATTCGTCACGTGAGAAGGTTAATTCGAAAGTTCAGGTCATTTGCCAACGCTCGGCACAACACTAAGTTGTGTTAGATTACACTCAGGAAGATTCAATTAATCATATATTATGGAGACGCTAATAAGCTACTCTACTCAAATTGCTTTCTGCGTATATTAAAGCCAATTTAAATAATAGATCACCTAATTCGAGGTAACTTATTCATTTAAATTCTTATTAACTTGAAATAAAGTAAAATAGATAATGACTACTCAAGAAATTGATTGGAATAAGGAATTATCGGAAGTTTGGAATAAAGCATACTTTACTATGGACTCCAATATACATAAAACAATTAGTGAAAGAGAAGAATACCTAAAAAATAAGTTTCAAAATGATTCATCTCTCACAAAAAATGAAAAAAATTTCCTACTTAATGAATTACGGAAAAAATATGATATATTTAGAATTGCCAATAATTCTATAGAAAAAAAACTATGTAACAATTGTCAAAATTGGCGTCAAGCAATTAAATACTGTGAATTTTGTATTCGTGAATATTTAGAAAATAATTTTGGAAATTGGACATCTGGAAATGATGAAATCGACAAATTAATTAAAGAATGTCAGAAAAAAACTACGGCACCTTATTCTGTCATTGAATGGATTAATTATGATCAATTTGAGAATATAGAATATCTCACAGAAGGTGGATGTGCTTCTATTTATACAGCAATATGGAAAGATGGTTGTTATAATAAATGGAATTCCGAAAATCAAATATTGGAAAGATTAGGAAAACATAAAGTTATCTTAAAAAGATTAAATAATTCAAATAACAATAATGTAAAATGGTTTCAAGAAGTAAGTTAAATTGCTGTTATAACATTTGTTAGTTTCTTTTAATATTTCAGGAATATTAATAATCAAATACGATTATTAGGTAACATTAAGTTTTACACTTGATAATACTTTTTTGTATCTTGCTAAATATTTTGGACTTACTCAGGATCCAATTACCAATGATTATATGTTAGTTTTGCTTTATTATAATAACGATTTAAGACATTTTTTGAAAAATAATTATCACACACTTACATGGTTGCAAAAATATAGAATTATTTATGTAATAGCAATTAGTTTACGTCAAATTAATAGTCAAAATGTTGTGCACAGAGATTTACATTCTGGAAATATTTTATGCAGTAATACTTTACAATGGTACATTAGTGATTTAGGATTAAGTGGACCAGTTAACAAACCATTGAATAGTATTTATGGGAATCTCCCATATGTTGCACCAGAAGTTCTCTGTGGTCAGATTTATACAGTTAAATCAGATATATATAGTCTTGGTATATTAATGTGGGAGGTAGCAACTGGTAAAATTCCTTTTGGTGAACGTGAACATGATTTGTACCTATTATATTCTATCGTCAAAGGATATCGACCAGAGATAAATGAAGAAATTCCACAAGAATATGTAACTTTAATGAAGCAATGTTGGGATGCTAATCCTAATAATAGACCTAGTGTAATTACTATTTGTGAAAAAATGGGAATACTAATTAATTCATTATACAATGAAATGGGTAAACCCAAAAAATTCAAATCAAAAATCAATAATTTCTTTAAATTAAGATCATCAAAAAATAAGGATCGACAAGTAATTAAAAAAACTCGATCAATTAAAAATACAAAAAGCAAAGTATATTATTTCAACAATTCAATTCAACCTAAAAATGCTACTGACGGTAAATATAATTTTATATTATTTCATTTTTTTTAATTAGTTTTATTTTTAAAATTTTATTTATTTTTTTATTTATTTTCAATTATTATTCATTTCCATAGAAGAACAAAAAAGTAAGTCATCATTATATTCCCATAAAATCTCTGACTTAATCAATATTAAAATAAATATTTATACATTTAGCATTTCATTCCAAACTAAATGATGAATTGATAATTTCTGATGGTAAATTATTTTTCTTTGTTTTTTAACGTGTCTTATCATATGACCAATGTCACACACGATTTTATTCGTGAAAACCCAATTAATTATTCTATTCGATTATTAGAAATGGAAGAACTTTATTTTAATAATATTGAAGTTAATAATTTGAATAAATCATGCATTAATGTTATTGCTGATCCGTCAAAATGAACTCTTACGGGGTAATAAAGTTTTATTAGGAAATGAGATACTAGGTGTAACTAGCGAGTGGTCTTATGGGACTCATTTTTGATATGCAGTCGGGCTCATAATTAAGATTAATATCTTACTTTATCAGAATTTAATAATATTTTATATTTATTAATATTAGATTATAAACAATTTTTATTTTTTTATTTTTTTTCTTTACTGTTT